GACCTCAAACTATGAAACTACTACAAGAAATCACTGGGGAAACCCTCCAAGACATTGGTCTGAGCAAAGATTTCTTTAGTAATACTCCACAAGCAAGGCAACCAACGCACAAATGGACAAATGGGATCACATCAAGTCATAAAGCTGCACAGTGAAGGTAATGGTCAAAAAAGTAAAGAGGCAATATACAGAATGGAAGAAAATATTTGCAAACTACCCATCTAACAAGTGATTAATAACTAGAATATATAAGGAGCTCAAACAACTGGAAAAAATCTAATAATCTGATTTTAAATGGACAAAAGATTTGAATAGACATTTCTCAAGAAAAGACATACAGATGGCAAACAAGCATATGAAAAGGTGCTCAACATCATTGATTATCAGGGAGATGCAAATCAAAACTACGATGAGATATCATCACACCCCAATTAAAATGACTTTTATCCAAAAGACAGGCAATAAATGCTAGCCCGGATGTGGAGAAAAGGGAACCCTTGTATGCTGTTGGTATGAGGGCTTTAGTTTTTTAAGGAAAAAAGTATACATAGAGCTACCATATAATCCAGCAATCCCACTGATGGGTATGTAAACAAAAGAAAGGAAGTCAGCGTATCCGAGAGATGTCTGTACGTCCATGTTTGTTGAAGCACTATTCACAATAGCCAAGATTTGAAAGCAACCAAAGTGTTCTTTCATCAACAGATGAATAGATTAAAGTATATATATATGGCACTTATATACAATGGGATATATTCAGCCATAAAAAAGAATGGGATCCTGTCATTTGCAACAACATGGATGGAACTGGAGATCATTATGTTAAGTGAAATAAGCCAGGCACAGAAAGACAAACATCACATGTTCTCATTTATTTGAGGATTCTAAAAATTGGAGCAATTGAACCTAAGGTGATAGAGAGGAGAAGGTTGGTTTACCAGACACTGGGATAGGTAGTGGTGGTGGGTGTTGGGGGAGATGTGAATGGCTAATGGATATGAAAAAATATTTGAATGAATAAGGCCTAGTATGTGATGCACAACAGGGTGACTATTGTTCATTTAATTGTACATTTAAAAATAACTAGAAGAGTATAATTAGATTGTAACACAAAGGATAAATACTTGAGGGGATGGGAACCCCTTTTTCAAGTGATTATTACATATTACATGCCTATATCAAAACACTTCATGTACCCCATAAATATATATACCTACAATGTACCCACTAAAATTAAAAACAAGTGAGCCTCTACCCACTTTCCAATTCCTGTTGCTCCTGGACTAATCAGCCTTGCTGATCCCTTCAGCCTTCTGGGCGGGGTGAGAGGATGAGGTGGACCTCTTGAGCAGCATCCCACATGGGTAGTGAAGCTAGGTACTTACCACACTCTTACTTTCCTCATAGGAGAATACACAGGCCAAGGAGGTCTTTGTTGGCACTGAACTGTGCTGCCTTAGAGAAGGGGTAATGTGGGTAAAGTGAAATGTTTTACCTTCTTCAATGTGTCTGTTCTCAGATTTTTTGTATGTGTGTTCTCCAGTGTAGTAGCAGAACCTTTCCACTGGACTCCTGGGTTCCCACAAAGGTGCTTTTATCTATATAAGTAGTTGTCAAAATCAGTGTTTCAGTGGGGTATTCGAGGGATAGAAACTTCTATTCTGCAGTGTTACTGATGTTACATGTCTTCCTGTTAGAACACATTGACTATAACTCAGAGCGAAACCATCTCAAGAAAAAAAAGTATTTTAAATTTAATTTTTCAAAGAAGAAAATTAGTTCAAAAACTGAATAGACTTATACTGTGAAAAGCCTTTTTCTCATCTGCCCAGTTTTCCTGCCCAGTGTCACTAACTATAGTTGTTACTTTCTTTATACATGTAAGAGTAAATGTAAATAGAGTGTCATAATTTCCCCTCCTTTTTGTTTTTATTTTTATTTTATTTATTTATTTATTTTGAGATGGAATCTTACTCTGTTGCCCAGGCTGGAGTGCAGTGGCACAATCTTAGCTCACTGCAACCTCTGCTTCCTGGGCTCAAGCAATTCTCGTGCCTCAGCCTCCCCAGTAGCTGGGATTACAGGAGCCCACCACCACACCTGGCTAATTTTTTTTTATTTTTAGTGGAGACAGGGTTTTACTACGTTGGCTAGGCTGGTCTTGAATGCCTGACCTCAAGTTATCCACCCGCCTTGGCCTCCAGAGCACTGGAATTACAGGTGTGAGCTACCACACCTGGTCCCCTTTTTAAAACAAAAGATAGCATGTTATACACTTTGCTCCTTTGGTTTTGTTCTTTTCTTTGATTTTTTTCCTTTTCCTTCCTTTTTCTCTTTTTAGCTTAATATATTATGAAGCTCTTTCTGAAGTAAACTTTCTTGTTTTTCTTTCCTAGGTGCATGATATTTATGTATGCACTATAATTGACTTAACCAGCCTCCTTTTGATGGGCATTTAGCATAGTTCTAATATTTTATATTACAGTGTTACCATAAATAACCTTATTAGTGTGTTATTTTGCATATGTACAAATATATGTCATCTCTAGCTCTTAAAGTATTTATATCTATTTCCTCACCCACCTTCATAGTTTTTGCTTTTAAAATGTTCATTATATGCTATTTATTTATTCACATCTATTGTGTCTTCACTAAGAATGATACCTCTACCACAGTGTTCTTGGTCTTATTTAATGATTTTTTTTGTTTTTTTTTTTTAACCAAATAGGCATATTGTCTTTCTTTTTGTTTGCTTTGAGTAACTTTGCCCTATCTTTTATTTGAAAATTAACTTTATGGCATTTTGCTTTTTTTTTTTGAGACAGAGTCTCACTCTGTAACCTTAGCTGGGCGCAGTGGGTGATCTCGGCTCACTGCAACCTCCGCCTCCGGGTCTCAGGTGATTCCCATGCCTCATCCTCCCAAGTTGCTGGGACGACAGGCGCGTACCACCACACCCTGCTAATTTTTTGTATTTTAGTAGAGACGGGGTTTTACCATGTTGCCCAGGGTGGTCTTGAACTCCTGAGCTCAGGCAGTCCACCTGCCTCGGCCTCCGAAAGTGCTGGGATTACAGGCTAAGCCACCACACCCGGGATTTTTTTTTTTAATACTGTCTTTTTTAGGAGTGATTTTCAGTTATTTTTCTTTTAAGTTTTAAATTTACAGAAAAATCACAAAAACTACCACATCTCCTTCACCCAAATTCCACAGTTGTTAACATTTTCCTGCATTTGTCCATTATTTCTCTCCAGATGTATAATTTTCTATTTACGTGTTTCTGGTTGAGCCTCATTATCCTTAAGTACTTCAGAGAATACCGTCCCAAAGGACTCACTTCTGTATTACCACCGTCTAGCCTCCCAATCAGGAAGTCAGCGTTGATACAACACTAGCATACAGGGCACGGACCCCATTCAGATTTTACCAACCATTGCAACAATACTTCTTTTTCCCTTCTGATCCAGAAAACTCTCCAAGAACATGCACTGAATGTAGTTATCATGTCTCCTCAGTCTCTTTCACTATGTAATTGTTCCCATTTCCTTCTCTGTCACGTACTTAACAATCTTAAAGATCGTGACCACTTGAAGGGAGAGGGAATTATGATAGAGCAGTGACACCATGGTGCTTCCTCAGCTGCTGGCCATGTTCTGTTTATTTGTTTTGATTACACTGGAGTTCACTTTATAATAATCTGATAAAATTTCTATTTATGTTATATGTACTGCTTTTTTTTTTTAAATCAAAACCACAATCTGAAGAATTATGTGTGTTATTTCACAATAAAGTAAAAAAATGAAGTTTGAGAATTGATATCAATGAATACAGTTTACCCTCAGGCAATTTTTTTTTTCCATTTCAATCTAAATACAATGAAGTGAATGTTAAGAGGCAAAATTATACTGGGAAGCTCTTCTTTTAATCTGAATGCTCATAACCATGCCTTTCTATAAAGGTTTGTCACCATGGTGCCCAGATAAAGTAATAAAGATTCCATTTTAGCAAAAACTACAGGTTTCAGAACTAATTTTCATTTTTCTTTTTCTGTGTCCTTAGCTGTAGTTTAAATTCTTTTTGGTTTGTCATATGATACTGCTGTGGGACGATATCCAAATTACCTTCCTCTGTTATATTTCCCGAATGATGAATGTCACCATCCTTAAGGGCAGGAATGTGTCAGTGTGACAAGAAAATATGCCTTGGTTAGGCAGTTATTTCTTATCACCAGTAGAAAAAATGCTTTGGAAATTTTCCCCTGGATTCTGACAAGTTTGTGGGGAATATAAATATGAAACCGCTTAGCAGCTTTGCATTTCCCCAGACTTTAATGCAACAGTAGTAGTGTCACCAGAAGAAATAAAAATGTACAGTTTAAGTAACATAAACATTCTGAGCATACTCTTACATCCATAATGAGTTTACGTAGGTTATTGGTTTTCAGCTCTTCAGAAAAACTTCTAAGTGTATTCTATTTGCCATTCTTAGTGACATCTCTTGGCACTCTTGTGTCTCATACAGAAACCTCCAAAAGAAGCAGCAGGGCCTACATATATGACCATAAGTGCTGTGGATGTCACTGACATTTGTGTATCTTCACAATCCCTTACCATTGTGCTTTTCACTCAGACCAGGCTCCTGAACAAACCGGGGTTACAGATTCCTCCATCAGCCACACAGTCTCTTTGATTCCTTTTTTCAAAATTAGACCCATTTCTCATGCCACCAGCCTGCTTTCTTAGTTCATTTAACATTCCTGTAATGCAGATAGAGCAGTTATGTCATTTAAACAACAGCAGTGTGAATATTTTTTGTCTCTCATCCCTCTGATATTGATGAAAGAATGAAATAGGAAAGTACAGTTACACCATTGCTGATTAATTTTTTCATCTGTGTGCATTTGAGTTAGAGACAAGTGAAAGTATTTTTAGGCTGATTGGAATGACTCATCACTTTATCTTGCGCTTTTAACTATATAATTCTGTTTTATTTCAATGCAGGTACAGCCTGACTATTTGGACCGGAAGAAATGATAGCTATTCCATTGAAGATTTACTTTACATTAGAGACCATTTTGACAAAAACCAAGTTTTCTATGACATCTTGGAACCACAAAACCATGAATTTAAACAAGCCATTGGAATCAAAGTTAATCTCTAAGAAGATTCTCCTCAATTGTTTCCTGTGTTTTAGTTTCATAATCTTTCTCTGCATTGGTCTGAATTAATTACCATGGTTACTGGTTTATGTTCCAAGTCATCTAATCAAGAAACACTTATTGTGTGCTTACTCTGTGGGCATATGGCCTTATAATAGTGCACTTACATACAAGATTTGGAAAGAAGAGATTTATTTGCACATGTAGGCCTAGTCTAATAATAATTCAGGAAAACGATACTCTGCACCCCTTTATAAAAAGTGGTTTTGATAAACTGAAAATAATTGGCAGAATCTGTATGTCATAAAACAGGTATAAATCACATTTGCTTGACACTTGCATTGCAGAGATTATGAAAAAGATGGCACTTTTCCTTTTTCCTAGAAAACTGGTTATTTCAGAGATAATCAAAAAGGAAGAGGGCTTTTTAAATGTTTTTAATTTTCACAGGGGTGAGCAGCTGTCTCATATCAAGATCTATTAATCCGTTTCCTGAAACTATAAATTAGATCTAGAATTTCCATATGATTGGGAAGCATGCTAGTGGCTAAGTATATTTTTTATATTATTTTTATAATATCTGACTTATAGTGAACAATATACTGTTGGAGAGAAGTTTTAGTCTTTGTCGTATATCATTTGTTTTCCAAGTTTCTTACTGCCACTACCTTCACTCAGGTCCTTGTTTTACTACTAGAATTTTATTAACTACTTTTTTCATGGCTTTATTTCTCACACTCTTCTCAGAGATAACCTGAGTTTTTGAGTTTTTCTGCTAAACAAAACTTTCTTCTTCTTCTTTTTTTTTTTTTTAGATGGAGTCTTGCTCTGTCGCTTAAAGCTGGAGTGCAGTAGTGCGATCATGGCTCACTGCAACCTCCGTCTCCCAGGTTCAAGTGATTCTCCTGCCTCGGCCTCCTGAGTAGCTGGGACTACAGGTATGCGCCACCACACCCAGCTAATGTTTGTATTTTTAGTAGAGATGGGATTTCACCATGTTGGTCAGGCTGGTCTTGAACTCCTGACTTCAGGTGATCTGCCAGCCTCCACCTCCCAAAGTGCTGGGATTACAGGCATGAGCCACGGTGCCCAGCCAAAACTTTCTTAAATACCTCTTTCTTTATGCCAAATCAAAGACCTTCAAGGGCTTAAACTCAATTTTACTCATTTTTCCTCTTTCAAGACCCTTCATAATGCAGTCCCACCTAAATGTCAATTTGTTGTGCTCCAACACAGTTCTTCATTAAAAAAATTTATTCAGCATCAGTGGCTTCTAGATCTTACTTTAACCATTAATGTTAACCATTTAGTTATGTTCACTAATTGACTTGTGCATGTTAGCTATGTCTCCTCAGCTAGACTGTAAATTCCTTTGTGGCAAAGGTTCATGCTTAAGTATCTTTTACAGTACCTGGCACAGTCCTGAGAAAAACATTCAGAAAAAATATGTGGCTGCTTTGATTTATTAAGAAATATTTTACTAGTGAATGTCCTAAAATATATAATTTGCTTTTTATTAATCAACCATTTTTCTCTCAGAGAATAACATAGTTCTAGAATTTCCGTTTTGAATTCAGACAGATTTTCATTACAGCCACAGCTCTATCCCTTACTAGCCATAGACTTTGGGAAATCTGTAACGCCATTGACTCTAGGCTCACTTGTCTATAAAATGGAGGTGGGGAAATGACATTTCTCTTGTAGGTTTGTTGTGAGGATTATGTGAGATTCGTGTAGTAGAGACATCTAGCTCAATGACATAGGGAATGCTCAGTAAAGTTAGTTTCTCTTCTTTTAGATTTATCCTGTGATCATGTCTATTATAGATAGATAGCACTAAGAGATACAACATGAAACATTGTACACATATAAATACTTAAAGACAATTATAGTATTTTCACTTGCAAATTCAGCTCTAGTCGAATGAAATGCTTCTTGTCAAATAATACCTAAAACTTTACTATCCATGGTTGTTTGCCAAAGTCAAAAGATGCAATTTCATTATGAAATTTCACCAACTGCTATAGAGAATAATTTTTTAAAATTAACTTATAAATCTTCTACAAAGACCATGCATTACTAAAGGCAAGTGAATTTATAAATAAACTGCCTTTTTTTTTTTTTTTTTTNTTACCCAGGCTGGAGTGCAATGGCACGATCTCGGCTCACCGCAACCTCCGTCTCCTGGGCTCAAGCAATTCTCCTGCCTCAGCCTCCCGAGTAGTTGGGACTACAGGCGTGTGCCACCATGCCCAGCTAATTTTTGTATTTTTAGTAGAGACAGGGTTTCACCATGTTGACCAGGATGGTCTTGATCTCTTGACCCCGCGATCCACCCGCCTCGGCCTCCCAAAGTGCTGGGATTACAAATGTGAGCCACCGCGCCCGGCAATAAACTGCCTTTTGTTGAAGTTTGAAGTAAAAATCTCTTGTTGAGAATATTATTTTTACTACAAATTATCCCACCTTTGATAATATTTTTAAAAATATTAATATGGTAAAATTATATATTGAGAAATCTATTAGCCTGATATCACTTAGATTAATTTTTTTTTTTTTTTTTTGGAGACAGAGTCTTACTCTGTCACCCAGGCTGGAGTGCAGTGATAGAATCTTGGCTCACTGCAGTCTCCACCTCTGGCTTTCAAGTGATTTTCATGCCTCAGCCTCCCAAATAGCTGGAATTACAGGAGTGTAATTACCTGGCTAATTTTTGTATTTTTAGTAGACACAATTTCACAATGTCGCCAGGCTGTTCTTGAACTCCTGGCCTCATGTGATCTGCCTGCCTTGGCCTCCCAAAGTGCTGGGATTACAGGCGTGAGCCACCACATCAAGCCTCACTTAGATTAATAATTAAAGGTATGTTTTAAATTGTTCTCAGGAACAAAAACACATAAGAGAATTATAAAATGTATTCTGTTGAAAAGTAAAATTTTAATGGCTATCCATATGGAAAAAAAAAAAAAAAGAAACCTTGATCCCTATGTCATGCCATAAACAAATAATTTGAGATGGATCTTAGGCCAAAATGTAAAAGCTAAAATCTTAAAACATTTAGAAGAGAATAAGGGAGAATGTTTTCATGACTTTGGAGTAGGCATAGGTTTCTTATAACCCAGAAAACACTAGGCATAAGAGGAAATGTTAATAAATGGGCTTAGTCAAAACTTAAAACTTCTCAAGAAAAGACATCATTGACGCATATCTGACAGTATATTACTCCTGTAAACTGTTAAGAAAACACACACACAAAAGAGACTGAAAATGAGCAAAAGACTTGGATACTTCACATAAAAAAAAAAGCAAATGGCCAGAAGAATATGGAAAGGAACTCAACAGCATTACTTATTTAGGAAAGCCAAGTTTAAGTCACAATAAATGCCAGTACATGCCTACTAGAAAGATTAATATTATAAAGACAAAAAACACCTTTTAGGAAAAAAAGGAAAACAGTTTGGCAGTTTCTAATAAAGATAAGTATATCTCTACCTTAAGACCCAGCCACTCTGAATAGCCATGTACTCAAAAGAGCTCATATGCTTGCATTTAAAGACTTGTAAAAGAATGTTCATAAATATTGTATTCTTAATAGCCAAAAACTGGAAACAACCCCAACTTTTATCAGCGAGAGAATTTATAAATAATGGTAGATTCATGCAATGAAATTACTACACAGCACTAAAACAGTTTGAACTGATGCGACAATAAAGATGATTATTAACAACAGCATGCAAAACGAAAAGCAGGCACAAATGAAAACATGCTATCTGGATCCATTTATATGACGTTCAAGAATGGTCAAAACTAATATATGGTGCTAGAAGTCAGAATAGTAGTAACCTATGCCGTTCTGTGGGGTATTGTCTGGGATGGAGCATGCTGGAACTTTTTTAGATGTTGAAAATGTTCTGTATCTTGTTCCGGGGTGGTGGTTATTTTGATGTGTACGTAGGCAAGGCAGAAAACTTACTGAATTGTAACATTTAATATTTGTGCGTTTTACTGTATGTAAATGATATATCCATTTTCAATAATATTTTAAAGGCCTCGATGTATTGAAATGCAATAGAATGCTATGCAGAAACTGAAAAAGTGACCTTTTTTATTTTTTTTGAGACAGAGTCTCACTGTCTTGCCCAAGCTGGAGAGCAGTGGAACAATCTCGGCTCACTGCAACCTCCGCCTCCTGGGTTCAAGTGATTCTCCCACCTCAGCCTCCCGAGTAGCTGGAATTACAGGAATGTGCCACCACATCTGGCTAATTTTTTTTGTATTTTTAGTAGACATGGGGTTTCAGCATGTTGGCCAGGCTGATATCGATCTCCTGACCTGAGGTGATCTGCCTGCCTCAGCCTCACAAAGTGCTGGGATTACAGATGCGAGCCATCCTGCCCGGCCCAACCTTTATTAATATGGAAAGATGTTACAGCATACTGCAGGTTGTAAAAGAGCATAAATATGTAAAAGTGTATATTTTCGTATGTGTAGAAAATTTTTGCAAAGAAGTTCAAATGCACAACATAATAGTTAAGTGCCACCTATTTGTCTCCTCTAAGTTCATGTCTAATATATTGGTGGTGATACCATATAATATCCAAAGCCTATTTCCCAAGACTGACAAAGCAATCCTAACTCCAAAAGAGACTTTAATAAGAAAATCAATTGTTCTAGCCAGGCATGGTGGCGCATGTCTGTAATCCCAGCTACTCTCAGGAGGCTGAGGCAGGAGAATAGCTTGAACCCGGGAGGCAGAGGTTGTGGTGAGCCAAGATCCCACCATGGCACTCCAGCCTGGGCAACAAGAGTGAAACTCCATCTCAAAAAAAAAAGAGAGAAAAGAAAGAAAATCAATTGTTCAAAAATTCAAAGGCTTTTAATAGAGTAGCTCATTGTCCTGTAAGAATGGTATAATTTGTTAATTAGCCAGATATGTACTTATCCAGTGGGTAATGATTAAAAGTAACTTGGAACAGTTTTTAATTTGCTTGTTTATTGGAGTTGGGGTCATGGTTTTGTTTTGTTTTGTTTTGTTTTTTCCTGTAATTTTTTTAAAAATTAAGTACCTAGTCAATATATAGACAAATGCTGTTTCTCTGACCTTGTTATTTACGGCAGGATCTGAGGGAGC